GAATTTAGGTTTCAGTTCTCTGAGAAGGGCAAAACATGTCTTTTCCACAAAGGGCCATTTATCCACAATGCCCTTGCGTTCAGGGGCGAAGCCTGAGCCGGCCTCACAATGTCTCAAGGACACATCCAGCAGCCCCCTTCTGAGTCCCGTCCAAACTTGACCGAGCTTGTGCAAGTGTGTCCAAAAATGGAAAGACTGAACCTCAGCCAATTAAAAGTACACTAATGGAACTACTGTTTGTTTAACCAATCATATTTAAGATAGCCTAAGTGTCCCTAAAACTCCCCTTAACTGTGCTTAAAAGAAGCCTACAGGGGCTGGGAGAGATGGCTCAGCGGTTAAGAGCGCTGCCTGCTCTTCCAGAGGACCCAGGTTCAATTCCCAGCACCCACATGGCAGCTCACAACTGTCTGTAACCCCAGTTTTAGGGGACTCTCACACAGACATACACGTAGACAAGACACCAATGCACATAAAATAAAAATAAATAAATTATTTTTTTTAAAAAAAAAAAGAAGCAGCAGCCTACCCGCCCCTCTCAGGGTTGTCGCCATTTTGTAGAGGTGAACGACCCCCACATGCATGCTGGACTATTAAATGCTTTCTGTTCTCGTGCACTGCTCGAGTCTGGGGTCTTCCTTCAGCATTTCCTCGGACCCTACACCTGATGCCATCAGACCAGGTTATAAGGCTCTCAGCTACTATTCCAGTGCTGTGCCTCTCTGCTTCCCACCATAATGACCGTGGAGGAGCCCTCTAAAACTGTGAGAAAGCCTTCAATTAAATGCTTTCTTTGTGGAAGAGTGGCTTTGGTCATGGTGTCTCTTCTCAGCAATAAAACAGTGACTAAGATAAGAGCCCACACCCCGTCCCTGCCCTGCCAAACTCCAGGGACTCCGAGGGAGTCTCAGAATGGTCTAGAGTATAGGCACTGAGCGTTGTACGGCTTTTGGGCTGCTGTAGAGCATGAGGTTTCCAGAGCGCAAAGGGTGGAGCAAGGGTTGGGTTTGAATGTCACCTCCATCCCACCCAAACACACTGCTTGGATCTTTTTTGGTTTTGGCTTCGAGACAGGGTTTCTCTGTGTAGCCCTGGCTGACCTGGAACTCACTCTGTAGACCAGGCTGGCCTCGAACTCACAGAGATCCGCCTGCCTCTGCCTCCCGAGTGCTGGGACTAACGGCGTGCGCCACCACCGCCCGGCTGCACTGCTCAGTCTCCATGGCAGCAACCATTACAGCATCTCTTCTTGTCTCCAATCTTCTGTTTTCTAGCTGCACTTTGGAGTCACCTTGAAGAACTAAGGTCCTGGGCCCACACTACGTACTGACTCTAGGTGTTGGCTTATTTCTTTGTGTCTTGGGGTGCTGGGGTGATATCCAGGGTCTCCTGTATGCTAGACAAGTGCTCGACCACTGGGCCACATTGCCCAGCCCTGCCTCTGTTATTTTTTTCCCCCTCTTTGTTATTTGAACCAGTTTCCCAGGAGATTCGTATGTAGTTAGTCTTGGAACCAGGGACTGGATGGCTTTAGAGATCCTACTTCAACTAAACTGCCTTTGGATATCTCATCCCATTTCCTCCACCTATTCCTGGTGTTGCAATTCAAGACTCCCAGGAAGCACCGGCTTCCCTTTTAAAGATGCTGTCTCCCCAAGTTCCAGCACTTGAGCTGCCAGGCTGGGCCTCTGGAAACCCAGCCTCCCCTAGGGAGCACCTGCAGCTCCATTCGCCCTTCCCCTTCCCAGGTACTTCCACACACTTGGCTGGCTTGTAGCACTAGGGGTCCTGAGCATCCCATAGTTCTGAAAGTGGTGCAGCCTGTCCACTCCATCCCCCACCACATCGGCCCATGTGGCTACCAACGCCTCAGGCTGGGAATAACACCTCACCCTAGATCTCCTGCGGTCTGATGACAGGGAGCTCTTAGCTCTAGCCCCTTCACCGTGAGGACTGAAGAGGCGGGGTGGGGCTTGCTCCTTCACCCCTTCCCATGAGGATGCCCTCACAGCTCCACACATTTCCTGTTTTCTCACTTAGCCTCACGCTTGCTCTTGGTTTTGCTTTTCTTCTCTTGGGGGTCTTGCTCGCTTGCTCTTGGTTTTGCTTTTCTTCTCTTGGGGGTCTTGCTCGGTGGCCCAGGCTGGCCTTGAACTCCTGATTACCTTTCTGCTGGGATGGCAGATACACCGCACGGAGCCTGGTTCTCCATCTTTGTGTTCCTCCTGAGTACGAACAGTCTGACTCAGCTTAGCTTCCGAGACCAGGCGAGATTGGGCATGTTCAGGGTGGGATGGTTGTAGGTCTCTCTTTGTTTCTTCTGGTGGGTCCGGTACCACTTTGGCACCACTTTGGCCCGACATCCTGAACCAAAGCTTTTTGGCAGAACACAAATAGAGGAGGAAAGAGGCAGCCGTAGAACCAGCCATCCCTTGAGTGCTGGCCAGAGCTGACGCTGGGAAAGGCAGCCGGTCTGCTGAACTTCTGAGGAGCCCAGTGCGGTTGCTCCAGGAGCTGTAATTAAGCTCACTTCTAATTTGATAAGCGAGACTAGCCTGACATGGGAGAGAGTAATTAAGTCTCACCGAGAGCAGGACAAAGCATCTCTGGAATTCTCATTCACATTCTCTCTCTCTCCCCCTCCCTCCATCCTTCTGATACATGTCCAAGATGTGAAGGCAGATGGCCCCGAGCCCCGCCTTAGAATCATTCCGGTCCCCACTCTCTGCCCCCTCACATCAAGGGCATGGTCATCTGACAATACACTGGACATGGCAGATGAATGTGCCACAAGACTGAGAAGGCTGGGCCTCCCTTCCCTCTGCCTTCTGCAAACTGTGGGCTGGGGAGATGGTTGGCTTGAACGCTTCCGCCTGGCCCACCGTTCTGCCACTGAGTTAAGTCTAGCCCGATCTAGGGTCCCAGGGGAGACTAGGGGGGTAGGAAGGAGTCCTGGAGACAGACACTAGAATGCTGCGTTTGCCTTGGCACTTTTTCTGGTTATGACCTCCCATAAGTCATATCACCTCCCCGAGGCTCTGGTTTCTTATCTGCGAAATGGGCATAATGTTTCCTCATCAGTAGTGACCTGCTTCCTGTGGAAGGAGATGAGGGACCACAGTTGTGAGGGCATGTGCAAGTGAGCAGGTGTGAGCACCTCACCAGAGGTGAAAAGTTCTTGGCCGCCTGAAGGGAACTCAGACAGCCCAGAATGTGTCATCTGGGTACATGAGGGATGGGGTAATCAGGGCTGAAATCTCCTGTTCAGATAGCAAGGTGTGTGGAAGTCTTGTCAAAAGTGGGACCTGGGCTCTTGAACTTGACTTAGCCACTTCAGAATACCAAGAGGTGCCGGGCGGTGGTGGCGCACGCCTTTAATCCCAGCACTCGGGAGGCAGAGCCAGGCGGATCTCTGTGAGTTCAAGGTCAGCCTGGGCTACCAAGTGAGTTCCAGGAAAGGCGCAAAGCTACACAGAGAAACCCTGTCTCGAAAAACCAAAAAAAAAAAAAAAAAAAAAAAAAAAAAAAAAAAAAAAAAAAAAAAAAACAAAACAAAACAGAATACCAAGAGAACTGAGATTTAGGTTGTTCTGTGGAGGTCTGGGTCAGAGGCAGGTGCCAATGGCGTGAAGTTCGACAGAGGAGGCAGGGTTAGCTCAGTCTCGGGATAAACCTTTCTGAACCAAGGAAAGACTTTCCCAGGTCACGAGCACCCGGCCACTAGCAGAGTTCAAGCTCTGAGGCAGCCTCTTTTAGCCCTTGTCCAAACTATGGTCCCCAGTGGCCAGCCTCGGATACTCACACTGTGCCTCTGAAGCTGTCACTCATGAGTCACCATCCTCTAATGACTGTGCACACCAGAAAGCCTTTTTACGCCTGAGGCTGGCTGGGTGATCTCTACCAGAGTCCCAGAGCCCCCATCTCTCTTGGTTCGAGCTCCTGAAGCAAAACCAACCCTATCTGTCCCGAGCTCCGTGCCCACGCCTCTCAAGTCCCTGGAGGTGTGGGCTCAAGGCTTTCTAGATTCTGTCCTCTGAGATGCCCACTGGGCACAGTATCCGCTCTACAAAAGCACACTGCCTGTAGCAAGGTGGTTGGAGGAGTCCTCCAGCCCTCACCCCGGGAGCCACGCTCAGAATGCCAAGGGAGTGGGGGGGGTGGGGGAGCTGGTTTGTGTGGCCGCGCTCTGCGATTACTGTGCATGAGCCTAAAGATTCCTCTCACTGTTACATAATTGAGGTATTTTTTTTTCCCATCCTTATTTTAGATCCTGGTACCATCTGCCCCGCTTTTCACGCATCGCTGGCTCTGGGCTGGAGGTGAGCTCAGGCTTGGCCAGTCAGCTCTGTCCCTCACGTGATGAGGGACTTGGGAAAGCCTGCTCCCTTATCTGTAAAATGAGATCTTGACCCCACCCCTGCCTACCTGCCAGGGCAGCTGGGAGGATCAGGTGAGAGTAGGTCTAACTGGCTGGGTAAGTACGTCTGGCGCTGTACACTGGAGTCCGCTTGTTAACCTGGTTCCCCAGGCTTGCTCACCTGTCCCAGGAGAAGGCTCACAGCTTTGCAAAGCAGGGTGGAAATACAGGAAGTGGACAGACCTCACCGCGGGAGGCTCAGGACTTCCTGCCATAGCAGCTTGGGACAGGCAGGGCCAGGCTGTCTTGTCACCTGCTCACACGGCCTCTTGGCCTTGGGGTGGAATGTGAAGCTCAGCACATGTTGACTTACCAGACAGAAAAGTCTTGCAAAATCCTTGTCCACTTCCAGCCATCGAAGGCGGGTTCCTGCTGCGAGCTGCTGCAGGCCCGGGGTCCCAGCTCAAGTCCTAGGGACAGGCTAAGCCCAGCCTGAGTTGCCATCCCTACTACCCCCCTACACCCCACCCCACCCCAGCCCACCCCCGCCACGCACAGGCTCAAGGGTTTGTTCAAAATGCTTTTCTCCATCTCCACGGAGTCTATTTGATGGTCAAAGGAATGTATTTGAGGGTTAACTCACAACGGGAATAAAGGAGTTGGTCGTGGAATCCTGGAGGGGTGGGGCACGGTCCAACTCAGTTCTCTGGGGAGCTCGGCCTTGATCCGCACTAGCATCCAAGACCACGAGGGTAGCCAAGAGAGGGGCGCACATACGCGCATGGTGGCCACGCCCACGCATGGTGGCCACGCCCACGCATGGTGGCCACGCCCAGGGGCAGGTACCTCAGCGACCTGTGGCCTCACTAGGGGCGGTGCTTCAGGGCAGGGCCCAGACAACCACCCTCTACACCCGTGGCACTAACTGAAGTTCAAGGGCACAGTCAAAGGTTTGGCAGATGGGAGCCAGCACACACTGCTGGACCCTCTCCCTGCCTTAAAGGGCACGGGAGAAGGTGATGAGACAGAGAATGCTAGGCTCCTGGCTATGCTGGTCAGCTTGGCGGTTACACAAACATGCCATCGACTGAGGATTAAACAAGATACATGTTCACATAACTCTGGAGGCTGGACATTCTGTCCCCACCCACTGATGCTGGGTGAGTCACTTTCCCCTTTGGGGCCTCAGTTATGTGACCTATAAAATGGGAACAACCTGTGATCTGCCCACCTCACCTGTCTAGTAAAGATCAAAGGTAGTTCCTGTGTCCAAGCAGGCTGCTGGTTCCAACAAGTGAAGCTGAACTGGGAGGTTTGAATCACCATGGGGATTATTTGGAGGAAAGGTACACTGGATTTTTTCTTTCCTGAGACAGGGTCTCACTGTGAAATCCAGGCTGGCTTGGAACTCACTACATAGACCAAGCTTATCTTGAACTCACAGAGCTCCGCTTGCTTCTGCCTACCAAGTGCTGGGCTTTAAAGAGTGTGCCACCATGTCTGGTAGCCTGGGGCTTTTCAGTTACTATACTAAAGATTAAAACTCAGGGCCAGCAAGATATTCAGCATATTCATAAGTAAAATAAAATAAGAGCCTGACCAGGAAGTCCTCTTTTTGAGGCTTAAGATCCTGGTGTCGACTCTCTGGCATCCAGTTTAGTGCTGCTCAGAACTCAGTGTGTCACCTCCAATTCCCTTCCAGTTCCCAGTGATGGATGGACGCCCGAGTGTAAGTCCAAGCCACTCTCCAAGTGTTACAACCAATCTCTTTATTAAGCACGAAAACAGATTCTCCCAAGATGTAAATATGCCATCTGAAAAGCTCCAGCTGGAGGCAGGCTCTGCAGGACAAAAGCATCTCCATGTTAGGGACGCTCCAGTCATCAGGGGTCCCTCTCTGGGCCCTGAGGCCTTGCCTTCCTCTTTCCTTCCCTCCCAGGCCCTATCTGCCTTGCCTGAAGACAGAGGCTGGAACAGAGCACCCCGGGATCTGCTTGACCAGAGGGGTCAAAAAGCCCAAAAGGCAGGCTGAATTCGCTCTCTGTGGGACACTCTGCCTCTCAGCACAGCTGTTCTAGCTGCCCAGGTTCCTTCACTCTCTCTTGGCACTGGGCTCCAGGTTCAGGCCAGACAGCTGCTTAGGAGTGTAGGATCACTGTTTCCCAAGGGGCTTTGCTTCTTTCTTTGTTCCCAAGCAGGGTCCAAGTAGGTGGTCAAACCCTGTTGGAAAGAGCCCAAGCTTGTGTGAAAGAAAATGCCTGTGCAGGCTCTAGCTGAGGAGGCATGGCTCCCTCTAGTGGCAGGTGTGGACTTTGCAACACAAGGCACAAATGATGGTTTAGATGTGTAAGGCTGGCACTGGAGACCCTGCCCAAGGCTCGACGCTCCAAATACCTAGACCCTGGACAACTGCAGGGACAAGCAGCCTTCAAATTCAAACCTTCCTTGATTGGTAACACAGACTGCCTAGCAGTGTCTCAGCTTAATTAAAAAGAAGTTCGCAGTAGGAAGGAGAGGTGGACCACCCTGAAGTCCTGTGGAGCATGTGTGTGTGTGTGTGTGTGTGTGTGTGTGTGTGTGTGTGTGTGTGTGTGTGTGTGTGTGTGTGTGTGTGTGTGTGTGGCTGGGGAGGTGACTCGGGGCCCAGCCTTGGCACCACTAATCTGTCTAACTGCCCCAAGGATAGCACCAATCCTGTCCAAGGCGAAACCAAACCGCACTCTTTGGCAAAGAGCACCTCCACCCAGATCTAACCCGAGTCTTCAAAGAGGGTGGAGAAATCTCAGCTGGCAGTCTCTAGAGCCTCACCCTCGGCCAGCTGAGAGTCAGCGGCGGCTGGCCCCCAGTCACACAGTGCCGTGGACATGCAGAGAACACACAGGGGCACCTGGTGTGACCGTCTCGGAAGACACACTGCTGGTCAGAGGATTCAAGGACTGATGGGTCCAAAGTGTCCTTGGAACCCAAATATGATGAGTTTTTACAGCCACGCCAGAACACAAGTAGGATGCACTTTGGGCACAACGGAAGGGGTATTTTGTATGCAGATCACAGGATCTGCAAATTTTTCATGCACACAAGGGAAAAAAAATCTGTTCTTTTTACTCGTGAGACTTGCTTAAGGATCAGATGGGATAAATATTTTGAATGGATGTTTTGGCTTAAAAATGATTTTGGATTCTATTCTAATAATCTGTTTTTAATACAAAGGCATTTCCCACAAATCTTTGTATAAAATCAACTTGCAGAGAGAGACAGAAGCACCATGTTGGCCCTGAGGCTTAGGGCCACCCACCTGTGCCCCACATCTGTGAAGGCCCAAAACCATTCACCACGTGAACAAGTAAGGTTAGTGATAAACTAGGTCTTCCTAAGACAGCGGGTAACCCACCCCGGGGAATCCAAAGGTAACTGCACCAACTCCCTCCCCTCAGCCTTCTCCCCTCCCACCAGATTCCCTGGCGGAGGTCACAGGGACTTCCTCAGCTCTTCAGTGTATGTAGATGGCGTCCGAGATGGCTCCTGGGAAGTGGGTCATGATCTGCATCCGCAGCCACCAGTAGTAGTCCATGGGATGGTAGCGGGTGTAGGGGGTGGCGGCTGTCAGGGCGTGTGTGACGGCGTTGATGACAGAGGACGTGTCTGTGGAACCGCTGTTGCAGTAGGTCTCCATCTTGGCGATCTTCTCGTCGAAGTACTTCCGGCCGTAGTCCTGGCGGACGACCTCGGGAAGCTCATCCCACATCTTCTTGGCAATGGCCTGGATCCTCTCGGGGCTATAGAGGCTGGTGGCGGCAATGAAATTGCCAGGCTCCACCACACTGACCTTCACGCCCAGAGGGTGCATCTCATAGCGTAGGCAATCAGAGAAAGCCTCTACCCCAAACTTGGTGATGCAGTACGGCGAGCGGGCTGGGTTGGCCATGCGGCCCAGCATGCTGCTGATGTTAACCACACGGCCTGCAGAAGACGAAGACAGCAAAATCTGCTCAGGGGGCATTGCCCTGTGACATGGTGCCCTGGCAGGGACAGCGTTAGAAACCACGCAGAGGCAGGGGGCTTCTTGGACCACCCAGCTAGTCGGTATTCCCAATCTTCCTCAAGGGCTCTGCTGTGTCAGGTGGGACTAGGGAAGGGGTGGACCAGGAGGGCGCAGGGGGATAGCCAACACACAGCTAACTGATAACTAGCCAACGACTGCCTGATGATAACACCGTGGGGTGAAAACACACCGGGCGCATGTGAGAAATGGAATGGCTAGGTCTGTCTGGACCTGTGCGTCCACTCTAAGCAAGGTCGGATGCTGGTCAGGGGAGAACGCAAACAAAAGCATCCTTCCCCTCAGGGAGCTCCGGCTCAGCTTCCCTCAGTTAGATGTGCCGAAAAGCGATGTGGAGAGTCCAGATGGGTACTGACTGCGGGCACGGCCAGGGGTGGGGATAGAACACAGAAGCCGGAGTGCCCAGGATGAGGATGGCAAAATCGAGCCTCGAACACCCCAGAAGAGAGGAAGACCGGCATTGGCCGGCTTTTCCCAGCACCAGAGCCAGAAAGGAGTGGGTCGGGAGGAGCAGGGTCCGGGTTTCCAAAGCTGATTTCAAGGCTGGACATGAAGCGGCACGGCCTGACTCAGGCATAGGGAGAATGGTGACTTCGGAAGCATTGTCACAGGCCCAGCCTGGCAATGTAGGGACCCATCACAACTTCTCCCATCCCGGTAGGACTCGGGTAGATTCCACTCAACCCAGGCTGACCTGGGTCAGTTGCCTAGGGAGTGCTCCCAGGAACATACACCCCCTAAGCGTGAAGTCACTGAAAGGTTGAGCCCTCTCTTAAAGACTATAGGCTGCACCCCATTCATTCCTATGCTGCCAAGAGCTTGGGACAGATCTGGGGATCTGGTACCTTCTGTCACAACGGTTTGCTGTTCTAGGGAGAAAAGTCAGACCGCCTGACTTCATAGATGGCTTTGCTCACATTTGGCTATTTTATATGCTTTGGGCATTGTGTCTGTTCTCCAAGTTTCTAGTCTTGTTTGAACTGAATAACACAGTGTCTCATTTTTTTAGCTATGGAGCATGCATGCTAACATTTGCTTTATATTACACTGTGATATAACAGCATGTAGACACAGCTGGTGCACGTGTGGTTACTTCTCCAGAATCGGTTCTTAGAGGGCAAGCCGCTATGATCCGTAAGCCCTGAACGCACAGACCACTGAACTACCTTTCTTATGTGTTTGAGACAGGGTCTCATTATGTATCCCAGCCTGACCTTAACCTCAAGATCTTCCTGCCTTAGTCTCCCGAGTGCTGGGTTTACAGATGTCCACCACCATCCCAGGTCATCTGCTCCACTTCTGAAGGCCACAGACCCCTCCCCCCTACCTGGCCATGCACTTCTGCCCATCACCATTCCCAAGCCCAGCACCACTCTGAGACTCATGAATTCAGCCCCTTGCTATTATGGATGTTAGCTCTGGCAGGTCTGCTGTTCCCAATCTGAACAAGAATGAAAAGGTTGGGCAGGTACAGGGAGGGGCAGGCAGGAGGAATCTGTCTTCCCAACTCACCTTTGGCTCTTCGGAGAAGGGGGAGGAAGGATTTTGTTGTGCGCACGGTGCCCCAGAGGTTCACTTCCGCCACCTCCTTATATGTCTCCATGCTGGTGAACTCCACCTCCCCAAATGTTGAGATGCCCGCATTGTTAACCAGGCCCCACATTCCTGGACAAAAGAGGACACAGCCAGTCACCACGTGTGCTCAAATGCCAACACTAGCCA